ATGTCTGTGTGTGTGTGTCTGTGTGTGTGTGTGTGTGTCTGTCTGTCTGTCTGTCTGTCCTCCCCTTTCTCTTTTCTGCCTCTTCCCCTCCTCCTGCCTGGGACACCCCCTCCACCCCCACCCGGCCCCCCGCCCTCCCCAGGACCTATGCAGACTGCCCGCAGCTCCTGGACACAGAGGACATGGTGCGGCTTCGAGAGCCTGACTGGAAGTGCGTGTACACGTACATCCAGGAGTTCTACCGCTGTCTGGTCCAGAAGGGGCTGGTAAAAACCAAAAAGTCCTAACTCCCGTTCGGGGCTCCACGGTGAGAATCACTCCCTCGCCCCCTCTGCCCGGTTAGGCCAGCATCTGCTCAGCGGGGCCTAGGGAGGGGCTCCAGAGGTGCAGGGTGGGAAGAGGGAGCCCTGTGTTCCCATAGCTCCGGACCTGGCAGGTGAGTCCATTCTCCTAAAGAGTCAGTGGGCAGTGTTGGGAGCCCAGCCTACTGGTCTGGGTGGCTTTCTCCCAAAAGGACCCCCTGACCTGAGCATGAGCGAGTTCAGGCTCAAGGAAGGAGAGGGCGGAGGGAGAGGACCCAGGAAGTGGAGGAGAGAGTGTGGGGAGGAGGGCAGGAGAAAGGACCACAGTCTGGACTTCCTTCAGAGTCCCGGGGGCCATCAAAGGTTTCCACACAGAGAGGAACCGTCATCATGCCGGCATCCTAGAACAATTCTTGGATGAGACCTGGATAAGGGAGCTGCGGGTACAAGGGCCTGGCTGAAGCCGTGTCCGTTCAGGGCAGGAGAGGGTCAAGGGAGAGGGCAGTGTGGTCATACTCACAGGGGAGCTGAGAAGCAGGGCTGACTCAGCAAGATAAGATCTGTGGTCGGAGAGGCGGGGCTGGCCCTGGATCCCTATGTCCGCTGTGGCCTTTTCTCCCTGGTCCCCTCACCTAGATCCTGAACAACCAACTGCCACTTTATAGCATGGAGCTTCAGAGACAGGTGGTGGTGGCACTTTAGGTTCAGAAACTAGGTCCAGAGCTGGGTCCAGAAACTAGGGCTGTAGTCACCCCACTCTTTTTATCTTTGCTTTCTGATCATCCCTTTTGTAAAGGAGAAAAAGACCCAAAGGAAGCAAGGGGGGTTCTCCAGGCAGCTTGAGTCAGGGAGACCTAGGGATGCACGCAGATGCCCCTTGGGGCCGGGAGCCATTCCGTGCCAGGCCACTTGTGCAGACCACTTGTCGCTCAGAGGAGCAACGCAGGTGAGAGGAGGATGGGCCTGGTGTTGTCGCTAGGTCATATATGGACTTCAGAGTTGCTGCCCAGCAGGACAGCTTGGAGGGAGAGGGGCCCAGCCAGGCTCTGATCCAGTTGGAAAGTGTGACTCAGCTGTGCTATTGCGAGTTGCCTGGTGTTTGGCCTGTCGCTGGGGCAGCCTGAGCCCTGAGTCGTGAGTCCCAGTGTAAACAATGGCTTTATAAGGTCTCCAGGGAAGACACCAGGGGTGGTAGGGAGCTCCAGGTTGGGAGAGGGTAGCGGGGATCATTTGGGGGGAGAGAACCACAGCGGGAGAGGGCGTGGGGCAAAGGCTGTCACAACCACGGTACAGCTGGGAAGCAGACTAGACTGAGCACCCAACACATCAGCGGCAGAACCTAGAGCCCTTTCCTCAGTCCTGGGGCGGGGGCTCCCAAAGGCTCAAGCGAGGCTGGAAACAATTGTACTGTTAAAAAGATGGGGAAACTGAGTCAGAACAAGGCTGTCTCTAGCTTTGACAAGTAGTCAGAGGGAGAGCCTGCCTGGCCTGGAACAGAGAACTTCTGTTTCACGAATTATTCGTGGGGGGTGTCCAGATAAACTAGGGGTAGGCCCTAGCCCAGCCACAATGCCAGGCTCAATCAGGAAGACAAAGGTGCTGAGCCCAGGACTATCTATGAAACAGGAACAGTTCCTGCCCCTCCAGCCTTTCCAAAGGCAACAGCCTTGACCCCAGGCTTACTATGTGCCAGTGGAGCAGATGCAGCCGGAAGCAAGGCAGAAAGCAGACAAGTTCTTGCTCTGGGAGAGGACAGGACACTGCAGCCCGGAAGCAAAGCCTAGCCTCCGAGCTCGGTGGCTCTCGGTTTCTTAGCAGCTGCCACCCACAGACTGAGGAGAGGGCTCCAGGACCGGGTCTTATTCGGCCCAGCCCTGCACCTACTGAGCTGGAGGACTTCCTGGAAGCGAAGCGAAGCTCTGTGGCTCAGATTCTTGATCTGCAGAGTTCAGCCAGCATTCTGGAGAATGGACAGCTGGGTGGGCCTAGCCCACCACACCACACCCAAAATGAAATGTAGATGGGTTGGGACCCTCATCAGCCTCCCCTGCTGTACTCCAGGGTGGTGATAAGCGAGACAGAACAGCTCTCCCCAAACACGTAAGCCCTCCCTGTCCCTAGCCTCCATCTCGTGGAACAAGGAAGCCGCAGGGGCAGAGCTTTGGGTTCCTGGGACTCTTGATTCAAAGGAGGGAGCAGGCGGGCAGTGGCTCACTGGGGCTACCCTGACAATGACTTCCGGAAGAGAGGGGCCTGTGCAGGCTGCCATGTGCCAGGGAGGGAGAGCTGGGGAGGGGAAGGAAGGGGCGATTTAGAACCTGGACCTCCACCAGAGAGTTCCAGGCTAGACCCAGCCCTGCCTGGAGTTGTAGCCCCTGGAACCTAATTTCTGCCACCATTGGCTGGGGCTTCCCACCTTCTGGGGAGACTTTACTGCGCCCCACCGATAAGTCCGGAGCTTCTCAAAGACCAGCAATGGAGAGCAGTGACAGAGGGTGGAGGATCTCTGCAACAGAGGGCCCTCACTGACCCCCACCTCCCACCGCGCCCCTTCCTGCAGGATGCTGGTGGACTGCGTGCCCCTGGTGGAAGTGGAGGACATGATGATCATGGGCAAGAAGCCCGACCCCAAGTGCGTCTTCACCTATGTACAGTCACTCTACAACCACCTGAGGCGCCACGAGCTGCGCCTGCGCGGCAAGAACGTCTAGGCCTCCAGCCAGTGGCCAACCGCTGCCCCCACCCTCCGGGCACAGCCCCAGCCCTGCGCGCCTGCCCACTGCTGCCCCATCTGTGGTGACACCCCTTTCCTCCAGTTCACGCGGCATTTTGATAAATTATTGGTTTACGAAGACCCTGGATCAGCTCTGCCTCTCTTTGGGGGG